CTCCCTGTGGTTCCCTGTGTCTCCCTGTGGCTCCCTGTACCTCCCCGTGCATCCCTGTACCTCCCTGTGTATCCCTGTGGCTCCTTGTGTATCCCTGTGGCTCCCTGTGCATCCCTGTGGCTCCCTGTGCATCCCTGTGGCTCCCTGTGTCTCCCTGTACCTCCCTGTGTCTCCCTGTACCTCCCCGTGCATCCCTGTGGCTCCCCGTGTATCCCCGTGTATCCCTGTGGCTCTCTGTGTATCCCTGTGGCTCCTCGCGTATCCCTGTGTATCCCTGTGTCTCCCTGTCCATCCCTGTACCTCCCTGTGCATCCCTGTACCTCCCTGTACCTCCCTGTGTCTCCCCGTGGCTCCCCGTGGCTCAGGGAGGGCTCCCACCTGCACTTGAGGGTGTAGATGTTCCCCACGAACTTGACGAGCGAGGTCTGGGGCGGGCGCGGCACCAGGGACGGCACCGGGCGCACCCTGGGCGGGGGCGGCCGCGGCTCCTCCAACTTCTGCTGGAATTCTGCTCCCTCCTCCTCCCCCCGGTGCAGGGCGGCGTCCAGGGGCCTGGCCTGCCTCCGCTCGAACTCTGGGATGTGGGAAAAATCGGGATTGGGGGGCGGGGGGTTGGATTTTCCCAGACCTCTGTGCCCGCTCCTGCAGGGATTCCCCCAGATCCTTGTTCCCTCTCCCGCAGGGATTCTCCCAGATCCCTGTTCCCTCTCCTGCAGGGATTCTCCCAGATCCCTGTTCCTTCTCCTGCAGGGATTCTCTCAGATCCCTGTTCCCTCTCCCACAGGGATTCTCCCAGATCCCTGTTACCTCTCCTGCAGGGATTTTCCCAGATCCCTGTTCCCTCTCCTACAGGGATTCTCCCAGATCCCTGTTCCCTCTCCCACAGGGATTCTCCCAGATCCCTGTTCCCTCTCCCACAGGGATTCTCCCAGATCCCTGTTCCCTCTCCTACAGGGATTCTCCCAGATCCCTGTTCCCTCTCCTTTCTCCAGGAATTCTCCCACACCCCAGTGCCCTCTCCTCCAGGAATTCTCCCACATCCCAGTGCCCTTCCTGGAGGAATCCTCCCACACCCCAGTGCCCTCTCCTGCAGGAATTCTCCCAGTGCCCTCTCCTCCAGGAATTCTCCCACATCCCAGTGCCCTCTCCTCCAGGAATTCTCTCAGTGCCCTCTCTTCCAGGAATTCTCCCACATCCCAGTGCCCTCTCTTCCAGGAATTCTCCCACATCCCAGTGCCCTCTTCTCCAGGAATTCTCTCAGTGCCCTCTCCTCCAGGAATTCTCCCACATCCCAGTGCCCTCTCCTCCAGGAATTCTCCCAGTGCCCTCTCCTGCAAGAATTCTCCCAGTGCCCTCTCCTCCAGGAATTCTCCCAGTGCCCTCTCCTGCAGGAATTCTCCCACATCCCAGTGCCCTTCCTGGAGGAATCCTCCCACACCCCAGTGCCCTCTCCTGCAGGAATTCTCCCACATCCCAGTGCCCTCTCCTCCAGGAATTCTCCCACATCCCAGTGCCCTCTCCTCCAGGAATTCTCCCAGTGCCCTCTCCTGCAGGAATTCTCCCA